GTTTTGTTCTGCTGTGTATACATAAGGTCTCTATGGGTTGGTACCGAACAACAACAAACATGTTTCCCCATTGCCTTCTTGCCTGCATAGTTTCTGCTGAGAAGTCAGAGCTTAATCTGATTTGCTTGCCTTTGTAACTGACACTTCTCTTTTTCCCTGGCCACTTTTAGAATTCTCTCCTTGTCTATGATTTTGGAGAGAGTGATGATTATTGCTTGGTGATTTTCTTTTGGGGGTCTATCCTTCCTGGGGTACATTCGGCTTCTTGAATGTTTATCTTCTCATCTTTCAAGATGTTAGGGGAATTTTCTTCCAGAAGCTCTTCCACTATCTCCTCTGTAGACTTCTCTGATTCTTCCTGTTCCAGAATGCCAATAATTCTTAAGTTGTTCTTCTTCATGTTATACAGCATGAACCGTAGACTCTTTAAATTTTTTAAATCCTTTTTTCTGCTTGCTTTTCTATCTTAGCAGTATTGACAGATTTGTCTTCCAGCTCGCTGGTTCTGGCTTCCATCTCTTGAATTTTGCTCCTTTCCCCTTTCAGTGCATTTTCCATTTCTGATATTTCATTATTAATCATCTGGACCTCTTTCTGCAGGTTTTGAATTGTTTCCAATGCTGTATCGATCTTGTTTGATTGCTTTTGTAGTACTTTCCTGACTTCTTCCTTGTTTTCCTCCACCCCTTTTCGGAGCATTTGAATTTGTTTCCATATCATTCTTCGGAATTCCTTCTCAGGCAAATCCAAAAGCTACTCTTCCTCTTCTGAAAAGCGTTTGTCTGTCTCCAGCTCATTCATTTCAGTTACTCTTTTCTGTTTTTGGACATGTTTTGAGATCTTTTGTTGTGTTTTATTGGTCATTTCCAATAGTTCGTGAGTTTTTAATGCTTAAATTGATGTTTGTTGCTGTGTTATTAAGTTTACTGGGTGTCTCCTGGTGGATATGATCAGGAGATAGGCTTCTCTTTTCACATGTAATGCTTAGCAGTTGTTATTGGCTCTTGTCTCAATGGTGGAATATTATGGGAAATGCTTGTAGAATGGCTATATGGCCACGATTGCTGTCACTTCTTGGGTAACGTAGGGAAAAAACGCTCCCACCTCCAGGAAAAGTGTGTGATCAAAAGGACCAAAGACAGAAGCAATATAAAAGCAGAGACAAAAACCACCACAGTGAAACAAAAATAAAACTGTGGCTGACTGTCCAGTTGCCTTGCTACACAGGCAGTATGTGGGCACTATAGAGGCCTGTGGCAGTGGGTGGGGGTGATCGCTTGCTCAGGCCCCTCCTCTATTCACCACCATAGAGGTATGTATATACATATTTAGAAGTTAATGGGAGAAAGATTGTCTACTGTTTTTGCCTCTGAAGGTCAGTTAGATATCTGCGTGTGCACAGCTTAAGTCTCAAGATAGTTGTGTCCTTTTATGTTGGGGTTTTACAAATTTTTTATATAGTTTGTCTGTCAGGCCTAATAGGCCTGCTTTTTCCTTGCTGGATATGCTGGAGTAAAGTGTCCCTCACAACTTAATTTTAGGGCTGCGACACAGAGGCTGACGTCATAAGCAGCTGCCAAAGAATTTGCCCTTAGGTCCCATAGGGTTCTTTCTGTCTGTGTCATGGGAAAACTGTGGGCTCAATGATGGACTGTTTTGGGGGAGTGTTACACACCCATCCAGGGGCTCTGGTATCGTAGTGGTTACGAAGTCAGGCTGCCAACCTCAAGGTCAGCAGTTCAAAACTACCAGCATTTCCGTGGGAGAAAGCTGAGGTGTTCTGCTCCTGTAAAGATTTACAGCCTTGGAAACCCTGTGCAGGGTCACTATGAGTTGGAATAGACTCCACGGTACTTAACAACAATAGCACCCACCCACCTGAAGGCATCCGGGCTGAGCAAAGAAGGCTTGACAGGGAAGAAGAGGAAAAAATACATATAATCCACCCCCCCGCACCTCCTTTTGCAAATGTCACTACACGTCTTTTAGCCCCAGTTCCCTGTGCAGGTCTGCTATAGCCCTGCCCTCTGAACTCCGCCCAGGGAAGGGTGGCCGTAGAGTGAGCCCTGTGTCTAGAGAGATTCCTAAATCATAGTATTTTCCTTTATACCGAGATTTTTTTCACTGGAGTGTAAGGGAACTAACACCTTGCACCTTATGCTATATCCAGAGCTCTGGTGCTGCTCCGTGAAAGCAGTTTCTCTGGGTTTTCAGTCCCTCCCCCACAGAGCCTGTCCTACCTGACTCTGCCTCAGCCACCACTAGAACCAGAAGCCCACAATAATCTTCTTTTCCATCTTTACTTTGTGAAAGTGACAAATTATAGGCTTATTCTACACATTAGAAATACAAAAACTGTAACTGCTCCTTCCATCAGCTCTTCTCCATGCAAACAAAATCAGTCTTTACTGAAGCATCTATGTATTAATTAGCAAATCTACTCACAGATTAATAGTAGGAAAAACAATGAGCTTTGAGAATCATTGTATGCAGCTTTAAAAAGGCCATGCAAAAATTTCATGATCTTTTTATTCTTTTTCCCACCAACTTTTTGAAGACCTCTCCTCATAAACACTAGTTAGCTGTTGTTGTTGTTGTTAAGTACCGTGGAGTTGGTTCCGACTCATAGTGACCCTGCACAGGGTTTCTGAGGCTATAAATCTTTACGGGAGCAGAACACCTCATCTTTCTCCTGCAGAACCACTGGTAGTTTTGAACTGCCGACCTTGAGGTTAGCAGCCTGATTCGTAACCACTACGCTACCAGAGCTCCTTAACTCACTGTTATTTTCAACATAATGTTTTGTTAACTAAAGACCATCACACCCTCTTAAGGCACAGTAAACAACCAGAAGGAAGAGATGAAAAACGATCTCCAGAAAGAAAACCACCAAAGAGGTAACTCTCTGTGCTTCACTTTTCACATCTGTAAAGTGAGGATAATAGTATCTTATATAGTTGTGTAAAGGACTAAATTAGATAATATGTTCAAACTCACCAGCTTCTCCTTGGAAACCCTTACAGAGTTGCTATGAGTCATAACTGACTTGACAGCACTTACTTAACAAGGCACTCAAAATACTGTCAGTATCACTGTCTAAATACAATAAAAGTAAACTGAAAGAGATGGGAGAGGAAAAGAAAAACACCTACCATGTTCACAGCATCTTGATCAAAAGGATTCCATTCTATATTCTGAGGATAGTGGGCCAGAACTTTGGATTTAAATGTTCTTCTCAGAGGACTCTGGTCAAAATTTTCACCTATAACAAAAAATTAGCAATTATTTAAATACCTAAAAATTTTCAAAGACATGTTATATTTTTATTTTATAGTTATATTGACTAATAATGTTGAAACATGATTCCATTTCTATCTTTAACAATCTGAGTTTTAAAATTCCTAATGGACAAATGAAAAAACCATTAACAAGAGATCTGCATCTAAAACATTAGAATACGAATTTTAAGATCCTGGCTAGACAACTGATATAAAAATCAAGATATGCCAAAATAATCCTTGCTGCTGCACCTAATTACTGTCCTCACTTAAATACGTAGTGATTTTTTTTTTTTTTAAAGCCCTGCATGGAAACATTTAATTCATCTTGAGATACCTTAAGCTCATCTTCCTTCACAGGATCCTGGATCTTTATACACAAGTAGGCCTGATGCTGCAGTGCTAAAATGATGCAGCTTGGCTTGAGTTTCCACAAGAATCTATGATTAATGAGATTACATCTCCAGGCTTTCTTTCGTAAGGGGATTAGAAACAGCACTGCTGAGCTGCCTGGTCTCACAAAATGATGTTGTTAAATGCGATTGAGTCCATTCTGGCTCATACCGATCCTGCATAGAGTTTCCGTGGAATGTCTAGTGGGTTTGAACTGCCGACCTTGTGGCTCATGGTCCAATGCTTATTCCACAGTGTCACATCAGAACACATTAAATACACACTAACTTTTCAAAAGAAATGAGCTATTATTGTAAGACAAATTCATCACCTGTCACAATTCTGGAAAAATAAAAATAGACTATATTTTGATTACTATATATAAGAAAACTGAATAGTAGTTCTCATCTAAATTCTCTCTATATACTTGACCTTAATTTAACTCCCATAAGCAAGGCTATTCCCAAGTACCTAATTTCATAAAATACTTTAATATGTATGGATCTTGAATTCCTAATGTCAAAAAGTTAAGATGATGAAATCAGAAGACTTTGGAGCAATTTCATCCTGTCTCCTGTGTTCCACGTATCTAGTGTTTTGGTGTGGCACTGCAGGATAAGCACTGGACTGCTAACCACAAGATCAACGATTCAAACCCACCAGTAACTCCTCGGAAACTTTATACAGGGTCACTGTGAGTCAGAACTGACTTGATGGCTCTTAACAACAACAATAATGTGGTTTAAGGGAAAACACTAAGCATATGGAATGGATGAGTGTCTGTATAAGTAAAGATATCATAAAGCAATATGATTTCCGAGTCACATGTTGACATCTAGTTAGACTCAGTTTCCCATTCTGGGCAAAAATTGGAAAAGATAGATACTAAAACACCTCTGAGTGCAAAACCTAACAGATCACAGGAAGAGAAAAATCTTCACACTCTAAAATCTTGCTGAAGACTGCAATAAGAAAAAAATCACAGGAGTTTTTCTAAATAAGGGCACATAATTTAAATATATGTGCTGAGACAACTAAACTGTTATCCCTTGGACAATGATCATTATTCTTTGGAATCCCTGTTTGGGCAAGTACTTCATCCTTCATCTCTTTATCTTTCTGCCATTATATAAGATAGAATCAACAGCTTTTGTCTCTAAAAGAGAAACTGCAAAAGAATCCGTAAGGAAAGTGTATCAGAGGTGTATCACTATATTCTGAGGTTATGCAAACATTAAAAGTCAATGGAGATTGAGTGGAATGTGGGGCCCTAACCAGAGAAGCAGTGACACCAGAGCTGGAGGCAGAGGTGATGGCATGGAGAGCTAAAGCTGCTGAGGACTCTACACTCATGGAAAGAGAAAGGCTGTATGCTGGCAGCCAGGAGACTGGCTTGCAGAATGTGCCCTTTGGTTGTTTAAATGATTATAAGTTCCTGAGTGTCTTTGTGTACATCAAACACAACAACAACAACAACAACAAAAACCCCAGAGGAAATAGAAGCAAATATTGTTAAATGATGATGCATGGATCATGGAGGGGATTGTAATTATTGCAAAGAAGCAAAATAGGATAGGATGAGTGTAAAACCGATGTTTTCCCAAGTACACGATGACTCAATTCACAATGAAAGCTTAAAAAAAACAATTCAAATGGACAAACTGACAGGGTAAATGAGGTCCATAAATGGATAGTAGATTTTTATATGGATACTAGATTTTTATATGAACACTAAGAATTTTTGAATATTTGCTTCTAGATTTAAAAAAATAAAATTATATCTCACTTCAAGTAAGAGAGGAATAAAATAACAAAAATGGTTCCAGAGTTCTATGCTCTTGACTATAGTATTTATAGTGTTGTTAAGCGCCATCCAGTTGATTCTGACCCATAGCAACTCTGTATAGGGTTTCCAAGGAGTCAGCTGGTGAGCTTGAACCACCGACCTTGCAGTTCAAACGACTTTGTAGTCTGACGCATTAGCCAACAGCGCCACACCAGGACTTCGTTTATATAACCTCAGATAATATATGGAGGGAGCTTCAAAAAGTGTGTTTGTTGTTGTTATGTGCCGTGGAGTCAGTTCTGACTCATAGCGACCCTGTACAGGGTTTCTGAGGCTGTAAATCTTTATGGGAACAGAAAACCTCATCTTCCTCCCATGAAACAGTTGGTAGTTTCAAACTGCTGACCGTGAGATTAGCAGCTTAATTTGTAATGATTATGCTAAAAGAGTGGAAACATTTAATCAAAAAGATAATGGAATTTTTCCACACACTTTTTGAGGCACCGTTTATATAGCCATTAAGAAACCCTCTCCTTCACCCATCCTCACATACCAAAAATGCCAGTTTTTATCATCCGGAAATGTAAACAAATGAAGAAACACTGCAGGAGCAGAAGAACAGCACATGACCCAGGACATGACTCCTTGTAACACTTACCTTTCATGAATTCCTGCCAGTGAATGGTTTCAATAGTAACATTACCTTCATTAATAAATAAAATTATTAACAGGACAAAAGATAAATCAGTAAAGGCATGAAAGTGTCGTTTACAATGTAATTGTTCGATTACCTTAAGAATCCCACACCCTCTTGAAGCAGGTGAATAAGCCAGAAGAAAGAGAAGGAAAACCATCTCTAGAAAGAATTTCACCAAAAGCAAAACAAAACCCGCCAAAGTGATAACACAATCTAATAAAATTAAAACCTCACTACAACCACCACCACCACCACCACCACCACCACCACCACCACCACCACTCGTGATTAAACTGCCAGAGAAAAGGGAGGCAATATGAAAGATCACTGCTATATAGACGTATATAGCTGTCTTGGCAAATATTATCTTTAAGGAAATTAAGGAAAGAACCAATTATTCAGAAATCCTGATGTTACCACTCAGGGTTTGAAAATGAGAGGATGCAATCATTCCTACTAGTATTAGCCAAGAAAGACAATCCTGGAGATTCTCTTTTGGGGATAGGTGAAGGGGAAAGAGCCTACTCTTCTCATTCTGAATTCATGTTTTATAAACCTCTTAGAATTTATTGCTAAAGCTGTTGCTGTTAGCTGCTATCGAGTTGGTTCATGTATAACAGGATCAGATCATTGTAATCCACAGGTTTTTTTCCCCCCTCCCATAGGGTTTCAATGGCTGATTTTCAGTAATACACTGAGTTACTCTGGAAGTTCCTAGAAACATGTTCAGCATATCTCAGCAGCACAGAAGCCAAAGTGGCATGTAGGTGGTAGCTGCATTGAGGTACACTGGCCAGGAATGGAACCTGTGTCTCCCTCAGAAGGGGCATGAACTCTACCACTGAACCACCACTGCCCTCACTGCTAAGACTGGAGAGACGAGTAGGTCTAAGAATCTAGATTACCAGGAAATGGAAATTATACTTGAGAGTCTTTAATCAAGTTAAAATCCATCCTTTAAACATCAACCTGAAATGAAAATGATAACAATTTGTCCAAGTATTAATATTCCTTGTTAAAACTACATATAGGGACTTATTTCTAAGTAATATTTCCAAATAACTTTTTCCTATGATAAGCACTGGACTGCGAATCACAAGGTCTGTGGTTTGATGCCACCAGCTGCTTCGTGGGAGAAAGATGAGGCTTTCTGCTCCTGCTACGATTTTAAAGCTTCAGAAACCCTATATGTGGCCACTATGAGTCAGAACTGACTCAACGACACTTAACAACAACAAGATTTAAACTACAATGAAACCTTTCTTCCTAAGAAAGTAGGACATATCTGCCAAGAGAGCTTAAAAACTAGAGAACTCTATTTTCAAGGCTGGAAGTAAGTGAAGTCTTCATAAAAACGAGTATGTAAATCAAACAACAGAAATACAAAATAATACCTGTAAGTTTGTCCCAGCAAAATGGAATAAAGAAACATTCACAGTGGGCTTAGAGTGAATTAAATAATGATTTCTAGCACCTTTTTTTTTTTTTTTTTTTTACCTGAAGTCGTATTTGCAGCATCTTGGCTCTTGCCATGACGATCTGCTTCTAGCCATTGGTACAAAACTACATAATGTAACAGAAACAAAAAAGCTTTATGAACAAAAAATGAAAGCAAATAAACAAAAAATGACCTTGAAGAATGAAAAATGACAGTAAAAAATTAAAAGCAATTAAAGATGAGACATTAACATCAATGGAATGTAGATTATAAACTATTAGTAATAAGAAAGCAAAGAATATGTAATTTTACTTTAGTGTAATAAGTTAAATGTTATTTAAAAATAAGTTATTTATATAAGAAAAAGCACACATGTCATTTCTTACTATTAAGAGGACTAGGAGGAGTAAACTAGTATTTCTATAGTTAGATATAATAAACTGTGAGAGTGAGATTAAATTATCAATTTCTAAAATGCTATCCCAACCATGCACACTTATTAAAATGGCTAAAATCCAAAAATCTTGACTATACCAAATATTGGAAAGGATGTGGAAGAAGAACTCTCATTCACTGTTGGTAGGGATGCAAAATGGTACATGGATGTTTATAATCACCCCAAATTGGAAACAACCAAGATGTCCTTCAATAGGTGAATGAATAAACACAC